AACAGTATATATATATTTGAGTTTTTTGCTTTGGTATTATGTAATATTGAAGTAATTCAACAAGAGATTAGCCATTTTGTGTAACTTATGAAATTAAATCATCGTCATTTAACATAAATTTATTGTACGTGCTATATTGATGAATATGATTTATTTTCTGGTTATTTTGAGCAACAGCCGACCTCCAAAAGTTAGAGTATAACAAGAGGGTTAGAAATAAGTTGGACTGATAATAATAATAATAATAATAATAATAATAATAACTTTATTGTTTTTTTCTTTTGTAACAGAGACACAACTGTTTAAGAGATGTGCAACAAGACGAGTAATAATGACATATGTACATTTGTCTTGCTATAGACGTTTCTTACTAAATTAATACACTGTGTAATTAATACTTTATCAGCATTTTATATTTTACACTTAACTAATAACGAAAAGAAAGTATAATACACATTCCAAGAAATGAAACACACGCCACCACGCTCGACACCGTTCACGCCATTACCAGGAATTTCTGACGATGGCGTGACCAAAGGGTGGGCCTGATCTTATATGCCCGAAACAATGCCAGGGGCCGTAGCCGACTTGCATCTAAGACTGGAACATAGTGTGAACCATTTTTTACAGCCCATCCACAATGCAAGCTGAGGTATCTAAGCCTGGCCGGAAGTGGACAGCGTGAAGCTCAAATTCCCAACCACGAATTTGAAAACTTGAGCAGCAACCGCTGCGCCAACCGCCTCCCTCCCTTATTACACTTTATCTGAATATAATAAAAAGAAACATAAAAAAAACAGTAAAGGAAAGAAAAAGATCCTTCTTTTCTTCCCCACCCCCGCTCACTTTCTTTCTTTTTCTCTTTTTCTCTTCTCCTCTTCTTCCCCTTTTTCTTCTTTTTTTTCAACAAATTTAGTTATGAAAAAGTATTATAGATTTTGTTAGGTCCTTTCCATACTGTAGTTAAAATATTTTACAATATTTGTTAAAACATTTTCACAAAAAGTGTACCACCGTTGTTTAAGACGAGCAGCGTCAGTCTCGAACAGGCTTTCTATATCACCTCAGGTCGTATTGGTAGGAAAATTCTCAATCTAACGATATTTAAAAGTACACACTGATCCTGTAAAGTTATTGATACACTAAAGGCCCTACAATGCAATGTGTGTCCGGAGCGCAGAGCGGTACGGTTCAAGTTTTGGTTGCAGCGAAATCTTATGCCGAGTTTTGCTTTCGACTTTGGGGAGACCATTACTCTGTTTACCTCGTCCTCTAGATATGACTTTTAGACGTTGATCTCGTGACTGACAATGTGCATGAAAAGAATGGCAAATCCTCTTCCAGTGAAAGAGAGTATTAGTCTATATGTGTACATGTCTGAATTTCATCATATTTTGTACACAAGACTGATGTATTCGCTGTTGGCAAACATTGGTCCGTGTGGTAAACTATTCGAGGTTTTGTAGCCCATGTTGAATCAAAGATCTCACAATAAATTATATAGTTTAATTATCAACCTACTTTTGGTTTCTGCTTCGGACAGTGCGCATACTAACCCACACAGTATCTTTATTATACATTATAGGTATATTGTTATTATTGTTGTTATTATTGTTATTATTATTTTTATTATTATTATTATTATTATTATTATTATTATTATTATCCTTTATTAGTATTAAATCATTATTATCACCTTTAGCATAATTATTATATTACTATATAAATTATATGTTATTAATTAAAAATATACATTACAAATATAGGCCTATATATAATATACTTTATTATTATTATTATTATTATTATTATTACTATTATTATTATTGGTAGTTTATTTATGAATAATGGTTGTGAACGTATATCTTTACATATTATACCTATTTTATGATATTAATTAAAAATGTTGTTGAAATTTACCAATAGGTGCATCATGAAACGGAGAACCACCTCAATTGGTGACGTGGTTGATAACTATGATTTTAATAAAGAAGAAAAAAGGTTAGACAAAGCACGAAATTTTCTTCTTGAAGAACAAACTCACAAGCTTAGATTGTTGGAGATCGAACATAGGGCAGTCTTGTCACGTTACGAGAAGCATAAAGCCAGGGTTGCTAATATCAGCTCCAACTTGTCAATGGAGGAGATCACACAGCTAAAATTTAAAGATAAGATGATGCAAAATAAATTACCAGCACTTAAAAGTACTTTGAAAAATGAAGTAAATCCACGTAAAATTCTTAAGCGCTCGATATCCGTCCCAAGTACGTTTTCTTGCCACAGGGCAGCGCCCCCATGCGAAAGACGTCGCTCTTGGAGCAAAATCAGGGCAACAATGCTTTCTCGTAATAGAGAAAACATGAAACTGTTAGAGAAACGTAAAGATGAACTATTACGTAGAATATCAAGAACTTCAGTGAGTAGTGAAGAGAATTTATCAAGTCAAGAATCGCCAAATGGAGATGATTTACTGGACAATATCGATGCCGTTCGGGAAACATTACGCAAGAATAAACAAGAACGGATGCGGAAAGGAATCGATAGGATTGGGGTAGATGAAATGTTGATGAAAGAGGATGAGACGGAGGAAGAATACGAGGCTCGAAAGAGGAAACTGAATACTAGTTTGCAGAATTGTCGGTATCTTCGTAGAAAATGTGATGGATCCATTGAATATGACATGAAACGTATAACTGTACTAGCCTGTAAACAACGCGATGCCCCTCGAATATGGGATGTAAGCCTTCCGCACAATCTTTTATAAACATGCTAAACAAAATCATACTCATAGAAGAACACCATAAAAAAAAAATGAGCAGACGGCCATCCCATTTAAAAAAAAAATGAGGACAGATTGGTAGTTTAAAGCGTTTCTGTAGTCTCTAAATAGTTTTTCTTGTATCTGTATGGTCTTGTGCAAACACCTCCTGAGCGTAATTTCACTGTTCCCTGTTCTGAGGTTGTCGTCGCACGTAGGGGTGGGGTCAAGTGTGTAGTAGTCTGTATCTGTAAGGTCTCGTATATGTATTTGCAACATAATGATAGTTAAACTCAGTATAACAACTCCCTGGTTAAACGCATGAAGCATAATGTATTATTTGTAGAAATAAATAAATATTTAGGTTTTGTACTTTTTGCTGCAGCTAGAATATTTAATGCGTTTACAAATTTATAAGGCTAATATTAGTAGCACTCTCTTTTTCCAGTATTTTGTCGCCTGATGTTGGTTACGAACAATGGATAAACCAACATATACACATACTTCATGCGTTTTTGATTATTTTATTATGTTTCTTTATGGTTCACCGTCATAAAATAATCTGTTCCTATATTTGAACACCGTTTATATAATTTAAGTAGGCCTATTTGTTTATATATGCATTGATTACTATTTGTAAAGCAGAAGACAGCAAAGATGTATTAGTCGTAGAAAATAAAATGAATATTTAGGTTGTGTATACTTTGCTCCAGCTAATTTTCTTTTAATACGTTTACAAATGTATAAACCTAATATTAGCACTCCCTTTTTACAGTATCATGTCGACTGATGCTGGTTATTAACAATGGATAGACAAACAATAGATATGTAAGCAAACAGAGTGGGGAGAACTTTATCTATAAAATGTGTCTCGTGATTAATAATTCATATTTATTTATCTGCTAAAATAACAATTGTGATTCAAAGTGGTCGAATTTAACAGTTATGTTGTTTTCAAATTAAACACAAGCGATCGGCTATTTGTCTATAAATAAGAATAATTATTTTCTTTAGTTTTGAAAAAATATATATTCCTATTTCAAAACTGTCATTATATAGGCCTACATTAAACATTTCAGTTTAGAATACGATTACATGATCAAAACTTTAAAATAAACACAGTTTCTGTGAAACAAAATTTAACCAATACGGAAATGCTAAGTACTTAATAAGATTTATTATATTTGCTAAAATAATAAACTTTGTCTCTATTATCAGAATATATAACAAATCACGAATGTGTTGTAACTTATTATAAGCCATTGGTCTGTGCATTACGTAAAACGAGTATTTATGCTAAGAATTTATCTATTTTAATGTGGCTTTTTCACAAAATATTGATTGTTTGGTTGGTTCATATTGAACAAAAAATGGCAGGCCAGTTAAAATGTAATTATCATGAGTTGTTCATATGAAGCAATGCATAGCCTAATTCATTTACAAACGCTGAAAACTTTGCTATACGTATATGCTACTATTGGATATTACTGCAAGTAAGTCCCGCAAACGACAACGTAAACGTTTCTAAACACGTAAACTTGTTGGACAAGCACGTAATCCTGCCCCTGTCTTGTTGAACACAGACACGTAATGTAAACGCCAATACACTTGCTTGAGTTGACGTAACGTGTCTAAATGAATCTAGTTTTTTAACGCCTCTAAATTAATCTAGTGTGGAGCCTAACATAGGAAAGAGCGCAACATTTAATCAGCTTAATATTATTAACAACTAAGAATCAGGAATGATTATTACAATTATGGGTATACTTGAAAGTCTATCTATAAAACACGCTAAAAGTACTTCCGCATTTTATTAGGTAGTTTTCGCCGCACGACGTTAACCTTAACTTTAACGTTAGTACCCAACATGCAGCGCGATAGCTCCGCTTCTTTTGTAATCAAATCGAAATACGCATGCGCAAACCCGTAAATAACGTATGTCGAGCACGTAAAATTCTGAAATTAACGTACTTCGCAACGCAAGATGAATAAATTATGACGTCATCCGTTAACGTTAAGGTTAACGTCGTGCGGCGAAAACTGCCTATTAACAATAGATACCGTATGATGATAACGATAATAATAACTATATAAACGTAGTCATAATTATAATTATTGATAAACCTAATATAAAAATAATGATTATAAGTATACGATAATGATAATTGTGATGATGATATTGACATTGATGATAATAATAATAATAGGCCTAAATATAATATTGATAATGATTATAACTATACGATAATGTTAATTGTGATGATGATATTGACATTGATAATAATAATAGGCCTAATAATATAACATTGATAATGATAATAACTATACGATAATGATAATGGTGATGATGATCTTGACAATGATAATAATAATAATAACAATATAAATAAATAATATAAATAATTAACAATAGATACCGTATGATGATAACGCAAATAACAACTATATAAACGTAATCATAATTATAATTATTGATAACCTTATATAAAAATAATATTGATAATGATAATAACTATACGATAATGATAATTGTGATGATGATATTGACAATGATAATAATCATAATAATAATTATAATTATTGATAAACCTAATATAAAAATAATATTGATAATGATAATAACTATACGATAATGATAATTGTGATGATGATCTTGACAATGATGATGATGATAATAATAATAATAATAATAATAATAATAATAATAATAATAATAATAATAATAATAATAATAATAATAATAATAATCTGTATAGTACAGTTAACTTTTTTTATGCGCTTTATATAAGCATTTTTAGAAACCAAGAAATTTTACTTTTATATTCTATTAGCATTTACTCAATAAAGTGACATTCTGACAAGTTTATATCATCATTAAATGCGAGCCCATGTGTTGACAGTAAATATTTATAAAAAAAAAAAAAACAAACAAACAAACAGAAGACCAATGTCGGTTCCAAGAATTGTCATAGAGCTCAATCGTCAACAATAATATAAGGAGAGAGGGAGGGAGAGATGCCGAAGGTATTTACCAATTAAAGTATGTTATACTTTTATAATTGTGTCATTAAAGTAAAATGCTGAGGTGTTACAATAAACTTAAGAGAATAACTTTAAATTGAAGATGTCAACATCCAGAGCTTTCGTTCGTATTTGTTTGCCTAATTAAACACAACACTGTCTGTCTATTATGGTGATCATTTAAGGACATTATTTTATAATGAACTGATAGGAACAAAGATACCGCCATGGTTATATATCTCGTCGAAAGTTAATTAAAAGGGGGCGGTAGACACATGATAAGTGTTACCACAATTCAGTATTATTGAAGGTTGTCCTGTCGTCAGAACTGTAAAATAGTTGGGTATACAACAACAATCATTTTTCCACAGAGGTTGATGATGTGTTTGAAGATGACGTCAGGTTACTTAAAGTTGATTGAGCCTCTGTAAAAAAAAAACAAAAAAAAAGAACATACAATACTGTTACTAGATGTAGGCTAAATGATGGTGGAAATGTGACGAGGATTGTTAGTGGCAGCCTCCGAGAGATTGTCATTAAACACGATTTGCTGCGCACGCCTCGTCACGTTACGTTTTCCATGGCTTCGCTTCGGCCGACGACAGCATGTGCGGCTTTATGGAACGAAGCGAGGCGATGGTGAGGCCGGCTTGTTACCCCAGGATGTCAGGAAAGAGTCAATGAAATTTAAAAACTTTCATCTTCCCTGCTATTACAACGGATTTAATATGGGATTTGTGCTAACATTGTGTATCCTGTTTTAAACGTACGCCTCTTTTTACAACTCATCAATTTCTCGTTAGAAATCTTATTTGAATATAAGACTAAGAGACTGTTAAAGGTATATTATAAATTACTTGTATTTATTGCAGTTGAATTTCCAGCAGTTTAATAATTAGCAATCCTCAAGGTTATTATATGATATTTATTAACATTTTCAATATACAGTATTATATATCAGCGTAAGGATTTTTGTATTATTACTAATTTTGAATTTCCAATTTAAAAAACCTATATGGATTGATCGTTGCGATAAAGTTACTACAATACTAATCACCAACCGAAGAGAATAAAACGAAGACATGATTATAATCAGCTTTTACAATAATCTCCTCCAACCGTGTAAAATACTCTTACGGGAGTTTATCAATAGAAAAGTACCCTAATAACGTCTCTTATATTGTGATTAATATAATTCTGCGCTTTAAATGACTTTCAATGTTTAATGAAACGTTAGAATTAGCGAATAATAAGTTATTGAGATTATGTACTCCACACATGCAAATTGCTTCGTACCCTTTATTAACCTGTGATTATTTACCAGCTGAAGAATAATGAAAGGCAAAATAGTATGTATATCTGTTATATGATTTGAATTCATGCCAGCAAATTTCAAGGTGTGTACGCCAACAAATCTAAAATTATATATATATATATATATATATATATGTTGTATATATATGTTATATATATGTGTATATATATATATATATTTATATATTTATATATATATATGATCAATTATTCTTTTAAAGAAGATTTTGGTCGCTCCTGTGGCCTTTTACTTATGTACAAACAGTACATGAATAAATGTCGACAGTCTCATGTGGTAACGACATGGTTCCACATGTATAACTATTTGTCCACATTCAATTGGTCTATAAGCGCATTTAGATGTGTAACCAGGGGAGTGGCGCCGCCAGCGTCTTCGCGAAGCCAATGTGAACACAAAAAGACAAAACTATCAAGATTTTCGCGCGTCCTTCATTTTCGCGATTGTCGTCATATCGCGAAAATTATTGGCGCGCGAAAATAAAGGGCTTTACACTATACGAGCTAAATCATGACCACTCAAGGAATTCTGAAGCTTATAAGAATGACGTATCGTGAGCACGTGCTGCTAGCTCGTACCTGCAAGTTTCGCCTCCAGTTCACTTCGTGTAAGCTGCTTTATGTCATGTTCCTGTTGTAGTGCAGAATCTACAAGAACAATAATTATTGGTGTTTTTTTAACTACTATAAGATTAACAAGCTTGAATTTATTGCGGCATCACAATTCTAATTAACAAACTATTTTACGAACCAACATGATTAAAGTTTCATTGTAGTTTTTAATAAAATTTACGTTAGTAAAAAAATATATCACTAGTTTTAATCATAGGTTTGGCTTATCGTATAGCTAACGGCTATGATTATAATAAGCAATTGTAGTTGTAACAATGTTTAACGACAATAATGAAACCGATAACACGAAAATGTGTAAAATGTAAATACAATAGTCAAATCATTAAAATATTATATGGGCTGGAATTTCACTAGGTTTATAATTAGCCTCTATAAACTTTGAGATACCGAGTTGTTATAACTGTTATTGTCATTATAAGTTTTATTACAATGTTAGTTCTATAATCGACCTTTCATTATAACCATAATATCAAGGAAATACGCTTCAATTGAACTTTCAGCTAAAGGAATGTTGTAAAAATTAAAGATTGGATTTCTCGTTTGCGTAAGATATTTTCTAAAGATATACGCTTACTATCTTTGCTGAACTGAATTTTTTAAAATTAATTTAAACACATTTAATTAAAGTTAATATTTGAATTACTTCAATTGAAAAATTAGAACTAGAAAAAAGTCACTTTGCCAATTAACAGAGAAAAATACTGTTGCATAATATCCATTGAATAGTGTTCAATTTAAGAAATAGGCCCATTGTAGTTGAACGTCTTTGTCAAATTAAAACAACTATTTTAATCTGTATTAAAGTTACCAATCTTTAATTTTAAAATCAGGCTCTGAAAAAAAAGAATATTTTGATATGTTGTACTACTGACAAAAAAAAAGCATATATTTTGTGTCTTAGAAAAATCAATTGTCGTACAAGACATCAATTTTTTCCGGAGACTTAAGTGATGATTGATCCACTCGTTGACGTCGTCTTCTAGGTGTAATATTTAATATTTATTAGGAATCGCTTTAGAAGCAGTGGCACTCTCTCTTTTCCGAGTGGTGCTTCCTTAACATACACAACGAAAATCTTAACTAAATTTGTACGTTCTTTGGGATGTTATTATGCAAACATAACATACATAATTCACTTTTACATTGGATAGCCCTACTAATGCACTAATAACAGTCTACTTCGAGCAAGAGTAACGAAAACGATGAAACGTCCCTTTGTAATCAAACAATGTTTTAGTTTATAGAACTTTAAAACATGTTAATTAATTGCTGTTTTTATAGTTATGCAATTAATTTTCTAAGCTTGGTCGGGAGAACACGAAACTGCAGGTGAGATTTTAATTACAAACAGAAAACGAATTTTGTTATTGTTACTTCACGATTTGATTCAGATGTACGCAGATTTTCTATCAAAATTTTAAAAACAAATAATTAGCATTAAGACATCGTAGTCGACTAAAGATATAATATATAGGCCTATCTCTTATATTGCGCTTCATAATGAAAAGAGTGCCTTATACATATATATATATATATATATATAATATATATATATACATATATATATATTATATATATTATATATATATATATAAGATGTGCATGAATATTTTCCAGTTAATAATAAGAATCTGAATGTAGTTGTTTTTATTAGCAAATTTATAGATTGAGATTTTTTTTCAGTCCATTTCGACCGTTTTCTCTTTTTTTTTTTATCCTATTCTGTAATGACTACATGACTAAAGCTCATCCTGCCATATCTCAGAGCCACGATGGGAAAAGCGAGACTATCTGCTTTGGCTCTTGAGCGTGATGAAGCAGACAACATTGCTAACTTGGATCATGTCATTAACTTATTTGCTGAAGCAAAAGCACACAAAATTCAGTTGGGAGTTTAAAGAATGTCAACAATTCAACAACTTACAAGACTCTACTATAAGATAAATTTGGAGAATAAGAATACTAAGCTGTATGCGATAAATGCAACAGCCTTACAAATTAGGATAATGGTAAATTTGTATACAAAGTTCCGAAAATCGTATGCAGTTTCAATAATAAGAAACAGGGTGGCGCAACCGGGGGGCCTCGCAGCCCCCTCCCACCGTCGGGGAGAAAAACCATAATTCGTCGGGAAGGAAAAAAAAAATTATATGTATTTTGTACATATTAGTAGACTCTAAAATCGATTAAATAAACCTTTGAAACCCATGAGTTTTACAAAATTTTCGGGGGCTTCGCCACAGACCACTTTCGGAACATTTTAAGCGACGTTCGACCACACCCATTTTGCTCTGGTCAGGGAAATCTACCCCCTTGTCTGGGCATCCCCCCCGGGACCCCAAGTGGGAAGTACAAGTTGGGTAAAAGATGGGTTTGCTTCAATCTTCCAAAGCCGTACAGTTGATATGTCCGTATGCGCTCACACAAACGAAACCTATGTCTTGGATTGTAAGCCTATGTGTAGTACAAAACGTATCAGGTGTAATACGTGCGTGATGACTTACCAGGTTGGGCATTGCTTGCGCTTTTATATCTGCTGCGGATTGGCAATCCAAATGCGAGTCCCTGTTTTTCTTCAAACGTATCTAAGCATTGAGTCTATGATTAAGAAAAAATAACTATTAACATAATGTAATCGTCATCATAATTAATCGACTGGCTACTACGATCCTTTCCAGGGAAGTCAACTTCTACTAAGCGTACCAGACAGTTTATAATTACTTCGTAAACAGCTATGATGTTGAAATAATGTCTAAAAGCCAAGCAATGCTAGCTCGGCATTACATTTAATTACAGGACAATTAACAACTAAGCCATGAATGTAAATACAGCTCAACGGCTTAAAGCAACTGGTCAGTGGCGTTGCGTTTAATCAGGTAGGTTTGCGATCTTCATCCTGTAATACTCCAATTAATCAGTGGAGACAAGCCTGTGTAAATTGTATCGCAACATCAGTAATTACACATTAATATCTTAATGCACGTTTTTGTCATCAATCGGAGTATAGCATTATTATCAATTAATCATAGATATGTTTGTTTATGTCATATTTCATCATTGTTTATGATAATGCAATTGGAGCTAAAGCTACCCAGAGAGAAGACCCCGGTTCGATGCCATGTGAATTCATGAGATTAAAGTGTGTTTATTAATATAGAACAGCAATTATAGCCAGTTTAACCTAAGTAAAGCTAAGTATTAAACTATGTTTAGAAATGAAAACCACCTGAGTATTTTATCTTACTGGCGAGGTATGCAATAACCACTTACATGAAACAATCTGTTAAGAAATGTAACCAGGCAAGCACAGTAGGGACAGAAGGGACGGAAATAATATCCATGCGAATACGAAAGCTTATTATTATTATTATTATTATTATTGTTATTGTTATTATTATTATTATTATTATTATTATTATTATTATTATTATTATTATTATTTATTATTATTATTATTATTATTAGTAGTAGTAGTAGTAGTAGTAGTAGTAGTAGTAGTAGTAGTAGTAGTAGTAGTAGTAGTAGTAGTAGTAGTAGTAGTAGTAGTATACTAGTAGTAGTATTTTTATTAGTTTTATTATTATTATCTACGATCGATACGATCAAAGCATTAGTTGTTTCTACATTAATTATTGTTGTGGCAAACATCTTATTAGAGATACGGCCTACCAGGCAAAAATCGAATTGTCGTAATAGGCAACACCATAAAGATGTGGGATAGACCTTCGCAATTTAAGCAAACGGTATATTACCAGATTTGACTTACCATATTCACACGGTCAGCGGGAGAGGCATTCATTCGCACTTCAAACCCAAAATCATGAATGCTGTCACTTGTTGCTGCAGTAGTAAATTTATCGGAAGCATAGGACCGGCGTCGCTTGGTAGATTCATGACGATTTGGGCAGCTAATCTTCCGTAGTTGATCCTCCAACTCCCCAATGCTACGGCGATGTTCCACAGGCGTAAACGCTGATACATGATTCGGTTTTAACATTTTTGAAACTGTTGGTATCCCGAGATCACCATTCGATGAGTGTGGTCTAAGAGCAGTACCGTGAAGTTCCTGCCAAGTGGTGTCGTGTCCGCCAGATGCCATCGTTTCTAAAAATGATCCTCCAATCATTTTAGAATTGAGCCAAAATGGTGCCATTTTCCATGAACTCATCGGAAATGATGGGCTGTAGTCCGCCCCACTTACTGACTCCATGCCCATTCTGTGCGGTGGAATGAATGGAATCAGTGCTTCATGGCCAACATTTTGAAACGGTTTCGGAAAAAACGGTGATGCTACGAATGGATAAACAGGCGTACGGATGGACGAATGCGTTGATGTCATGTCGAATTGCATACGTTTTGACGACGGTGCAAGCGATATAACCGGAATACTGTTAGTGACGCTTGTCTTCGAACACGTTAGAAGCGATCGTTTGCGACTGCCTCCATTAAACATCGCCTTAACGTCTTCCCAAGCGTGCAGAAGCTCGTCACTCGAATCTGTATTCGCTAAGTTAATGTGACGTCGCCAAGAATTAAAGTTAGCCGCGTCCGGGTGTTGGTATTTTGATTCCGGCAAACGATGCGAATGAAAGATGAATTTGTTCGGTGAAAGATAAATACCGCAAAATGTACATTTAATGCACTTAGCTCGTGAGCTGTTGTATCGGCTCGGAATAAAGCTACCCTGGCATCCCCACGAACACGTATGCTCCACTTCAAATGCAAAATTATCTGGTAGTTTCACGGGTGTGGTTTCCTCGAGAAATGATTTGACGAGTCTTTCCGCTTCGTGTTTGGTTATCATGCCACAACGTCGGGATGAAATCGGCATCGCACCGGCCCGTCGGAGGATTTCAAGTTGTACTGGCGTACACTGCACACAGGTTATACCTAGGGCTACGCGTCGATTGTGGATTTCGTTGTAGCTGTACTTTTTGAGTAGCGTGTTAGATATTTGTGCTAGGCACAGCCGCTCCTTATTGTCGATGGCAAGCGAAGCAATGGGGATGTTGTAGAGAAGAGTGGTGTGACATTGCTCAGTGGTCAATCTTGCACAGGTTTCGTCAATAGCATCAACGAAATGCTCTTCCGACATCTTGCAAATAAAAAATATCATTTCGTTACCTATCACAATTTTCAAAAATAATTATTTTATAACTTTGTACAAGGTCCAGAAATTATTTAAAAGGTCATTATACTCTCTCGAGCGTATTAAGTCGGGCACTCACTGCGTCGTGCGACGATCGTACGACCGTCGGATGACGAATCAAACTCCGCTCTCTGTGAGCGATAGACGACGCGACGCCGTCTGATGATTGTCAGTGGTAGTCTGAACTGATCGTCATTACAAACGATCCGTTGCACGTGCGTCGTCGCGTTGCGCTCGTTATAAAATGGCGTCGGTGGACGACCGTCGTTCGCGGTGAGTGCCTAGCTTTGACATCCGGTATGTATATGTGAATCCGTCCCGTGTCAAAGCCTAAAATGTTTATTTGTTAATATTCTATTATAATTATTAATACTTTTATTGTTATTGCTATCAACATTATATTATTGTTATTTTCAACTACATTATTATAAAATTACTATATACCAAAGCAATGTTACTACAGGATTAATACTGTAATTAATATTACTATTATCCTTAATTATCATCATTACTTTCGTTGCTTTTGTTTTCTTCTGGTCTTTCATTTTCGGAGTTAAGCCTATAGAGTGACGCTTGTGTTGTATACTAAACAGAGAAATCATTAAAGGTGCCAATAAATAATGATTAAGTATGGTTTATGATTTGGTATTCCCAGGTGCAAACGTACCATCAAATTCAGTTTAAGATTCAGTAGATACCACAGCTATACATTTGTTTAAGTGTAAATCAGTTTTTATTTTGTAAAGGTTCTGTAGGCTTTTAGGCCTATAGGTTTTCTTATTAAAGTTATTATTGTTATGGTTGTTTATGTACAGTCTATCACTGATCTAATATGTGTACGGTTAGTTATTAACTTACAAATAACAATCTGAATGAAAAAAAAATGTTCCCCATCAATCGGACAATTAATTAATACCTATCCTGTATTCTTTTGCATAGACCCTTAACTGGTAATCAACTTAAGAATTTTTGAAAACCATTTCTTACGATGTGCTTTTGATTGGAGTTATTTGATAATTTTAAATGAGCTATTCGGTTAGTTTAATTGAAATTTTGAGGTTTTTTTCTGACTTTTTTGGTAGACAGTATATTTGCTATTTATTAACGAATAGGCCTATATATACAAACTCCGTTCATGTGTTTTCTGGAGGTCCTTTGGTTATTAATGCATAGTAAATATCAAGGATTTTCGAAGTAAGATATCTGTAAATTAGTGAAAACTGAAATGGTATAATTTGTGTGTCATATAGTATAGTATACAATGCAAAGTATATATATATTACTAATTGTATAATAATAATTGAATAATAATGTATGTTCATTATATACTACCATATTGTATCTACATTATTTTATCATTATTGTAATTATGACTATAGGCCTAGATGTATTTATAAAACACTTTCAATAATGACTATTTTATAATAATACAATCGGAAGAACAATTTATCTTGACTTTTACTTATCTGTGATAACATTCAAGATTAGTATCACATTTTGCTTTTTTTCCTATTATATAAAGCTATTATAACCCAGGTAAGTTTATAAAATAGTATAGGCCTACATTTCATATTATTTTGGATTTGAAATAAGAACATATGGTAATATATAATTGTTTAATAGGAACTCATACTTTTTAAAGAATTATAGGGCTAATAGATAGGCCTGTTACATAAATTGAATGGAAATAGTAAAAAAAAAATACTTTTTATATAAATATAATTTTAAAGACAAATAGAAAAAGATATAGCCTAAGTTTGAGCTCTTATTGAATCAGGTAATCTTTAATTCAATAAATACAATACCGTACTAATACTATTTAAAAGTATTATTTTTAAATAAAAATCATTAAATAATATTATATGAGATATATTATTTTTTTTTTGTCTTTTGTGGGTGTTTCCCACCTTTATTGTCATTCCAATGTATATACACAATTCTTATTTATATACATGCTCAGTATCTTACAAATTTGATATAGCACTCATGCTTATATACAGTTAAAATGACTGATAAAATTAATTAGATCAGTTCTATCAAGCATTTGATTTTAATCATTATATATATATATATATATATATATTTCTGAGATATATTATTATTAAGTTAGTTGGCCTAATACAAATACATTCGCTACAGCAAATCAGTTAAAATATTAATTTATCTAAAACAGTTAGGCTACTACATACTTCATTAAAATGAAAAAACAAAGTTTGATAACTTACTTTTTATTACTGACTTTAATCAAAACCGACTGAAGTGTGTAGTTGACGAGGCGTGTTTGTCGAATACCAGCTTAGGGATAATGAAAGCAATTTTGTCGACAGCAACGGTTTTTAATCTTCCTTAAATGATAAAGCGAAAGTCTAATTTGTTCCATCGTCTAATTAAGCATTATCTATTGGTAGTCAAATATTCCATGGATAGAGGTATCACGCATGCGCGTCGAAATAGTACGGTTGCCAGAGATTCGGATATGAATTTTTCATTCGAGAAGTGAGTAATGATAATTTGTATACATAAAGGTAATAATGATAACTAATTTGATGTGAGTAGAAAAAAGAAACCACTAACTCAAGTAGTTACAGTATATTACATTTGAAAATTAACAAACTAAGTTTCAGTCTTAAGTACAAACAGTTTACAACCCATGGCTTATATTATTTAGGCCTATGTTATATACATTTGCATGTAGGCCTATGTATGTATATATTATACACACTTATAATATGATAATGATAAAAGTATAACCCAATACATATACTGGCTTTCTTGTCTTGACAATTGTGAACACTTCCATAAACCATGGACCTATTAATAGGTCCATACATAAACAGACTATTTTTATTCTAACAAAAAGAGCTACCATCAAGGGCCAAACGCACATTAATATTGATCAAGGAAAAAATAAACAAAAAAATACTTGGAAGCTTACAGACTAGTAACTTGGATGTTGATTAGCCAAATTATCATAATTAACCTTTGTAATTTTTTGTTTCTTAGTGAAGAAAAATGAAGGGCAAGGAAGAGATGTATGCGCATATTGTACATAGACAGTTGTATGCTACGCCGTTTTGTAGTTAAGCGTTTTGATCAGGGATTGATAAACAAAATGAATTAGATTATTTAGTCAGAGTGAGCCTTTGCCCGTCATCAATGACATGCCTAAATATTTAGTTGGTTGTTGAGATACTTGCTTTCCTATTTCATGGTTCCAAGTTAAGACATTCAAACAATAATATATTTTTGTGATTTCTAAAACAATGGACCTTTTCGCCAAGCCCCGCCTAAATATTGTTGCTAAGCGACAGCTTAACGTATGTCATTACGTGCGTTTCTGGGACATGTGCGTTTACCCTGTAATGATCAGTTGTTTAGTTTGATTGACACTACTGAATAGTCCACTTCACCTCTTTGGGCTCTCTTGAGAATTTATTGTGAATATTAAAATAAAAATTTTTGTGACGTGAAAAGTCTTTCTGATTTAAAGGAGAGACTGAAATGAACAATATCATTATAGGCCTATATTTAATCCACTCACACAAATAAAATTTAACCAACCAGCAGGCGGTCTGTTAGGTAATTATTATCTAATTATCAATTAAGATAATTGGCTACTGGGTTAACTAAATATAGCCGTCTGTGTTCTCATTGAATTTCAAAGTTAATAGTTCAAGTTACTGGTTTTTATATAAGCTGTTAATTATCATTTATAGAATTACTGTAAGTGTAAAACAGTAATTGTATTTGAATAATTCTTGCTTGGAGCCGTCTGATGTAATAGAACTATTAACAAAAAGAGTAACTATACCCTTTGTTTTATTTGTGTATTTATTTATTTGATTTTTAGGCACAAAAAGACCGTAATCACTTTAACTAGGTGGCAATCCTTCCACAAGACAAACATAAACTGAACTGAACCTAGGGACTTGGGAATAGAAGGCAAGTATCTTAACCACCAACTTACAGCTCCACTCACGCGTTTACGTAATTTATAGAAGTACACTATGTTGTAAATTGAATAATAATGCTCCAATTTGAAGCTTGGTTTTCATAAAATCGCTACACAGCTGTACGTCCCGAAACAATCGGGAACGCTCATTGATTCAACTGACCATTCAGCGTCGCCAAATCATTCGGCGATAAAATGTAGCGATTTATACGGAAACCACTAACCAGGTTTTGCAAACATTAGCACATTTGATGTTTTGATTGTAAAGTGCAGTAAGCTAATGTTATGATCTTCATTCAGAAATTCAAACAGAGGTCTACTAAACCAATACGGTAATTACTCGTAGGTCTGGTCAAGATGGATCTGATGACTTTAAATAATTATAGAATCCTGAAATGCCCATTTTCTTACCTTTAAAAATCCTTTAAAAAATGAAAATATACATTTGCAAATAATTGCCATTAAAGTGTTAAAAAGAAAGATGAAATTCGTGGGTTATCAGTGTTTGTGTCCCAGTCGGTCGGCGAGTACACAGATAAAAATGATGGACACTGAGAAACCGTCATCGGATGGTTGTCACTGATTAAATGAACAAAACAATAACAGTTAGTTACTGATTAAATATAATACTTTAACTTGAACAAAATAAAATCGTACTTTAAAATAATTACATTTTCTATGTATAATCACATAAAAATATTTCTTTTTGTTATTTATGTTTAATTAGACGTTTGGTATGTCCTTGGAAGCGGACGACTTGCCTTATGCTAATTATTTTGTTTCAGTTTTGTAACACTTGAATACAGTTATTTTTTTATTATCATTATTTTTTTTATAAAACATATTTTATAAGAACACTGAGGCTAAAATTGCTTAAAAATTAAGAACAAAATAAGAACAAATTGAGGCTGAGGTAAAATGTCAAATCAGGCTTTTATTTTTATTTTAAATAGAAAAACCAAAAAAAAAAATTATCTGTACCTCTTATGCAGTAGGTGTGACTATGTAATACCCTCTATAATACAGTACAGTAGATGTAGCTGTCATTTTGGGCCATTGTTACCGGGCCTTTTATCTGGGGCCATTTTTCCGGTGACTTTTTTTCAATTTTTCCGGGGCCATTTTTATCTACATACCAGTACAGTAGTATACTGCTGTATAATGATTTTTTTTTGTGAAAAGTGTGTAAAATATGAACAAAATAAGAATATTTTGAAGCTAAAATCGGCCAAAAAGTAAGAACACTGAGCTTGGGCAAGATTTACTGGTTCATATTTAAAAAAGAAAATGTGTACAAAGCAAATATATATCTATTTTGTAGAATGTACATATACATATAGGCCTATTATTATTGTTTATAAATTAAATAATATTGTACTTGTGTATCTTAAAACCAAAAG